TGATTGACGAGGGTGAGCATTGGAGAAACTGAAGCTTGGGTTGCGACATATGTCAGAATCCAGAAGTGTAACTAGAGTAGATTAGGAACATCCTTAGAACCCATAGCTTAGGGTTTAGAGCAAGGCTAGGAGGTGATGAGAGAGTTTGGCCAAACAAAAGTGGAGTTGCACTATGGAGGGACAAGTACAAATAGGCAAGAAAGGAGGTACACCACCTACAGCAAAAGATTACATGCACTACAGTCTACACTGCATAAAGTTATATTCGAACAACATAGGTCTGCAACTCCTCCATCCTTAGTTATGGGAGAGGTTGCTGCTACTGACGTAAACAATGGTGAGGACCATTGACTGTGATCTGCAAGTATTCTAGTGTCTACTAAGATTGAGATGTCTGTTACTTCCCCCACCCCGTCTACTATACGAGCTTGTTTTGTAAGGTCATCTACGCCATTGGCCCAAATTGCAGAAGTTTTTAAAATTTGACGAGAGGGGGTTTTGGCTGGTTTGGGTTTTGGCGAGTAAATCCGATTTCGTGGAAATCGTTTTTTCGCCAAACCCAGCCAACCCCTCGTTTCTCTCCTTGTAGGTGTGTCAGACCTCGAAATTCCCAAATTTCAGATGCGCTTCATTTTAAAGCTTGCACGGCCCACTTCGTCAAGATTTAAAAACTTGACCCGTGCGGTCCGCAAATTGGGCCACGGGCTTTAAGACTCGTGCAGGTAAGGTAATTTATATTACTCATTCAATCAGTGACTGATAGCCCCTATGCATCCGCAGGCTGAAGAAAGCTACGTCACTGACAATACTAACTACTGAACTCCATCTTGTTGCTGTTGCGACTAGCCTACTGAGATGATGCCGTTTCATATCCCGTAGTCTTTCTTGATTACATTTTGACATGGCTTCTCAAGTATCCATTTGGTTGCATATCCCAATTTCTCCAGGTGTATCAGACGGTTGTGGATGCGATGTGCGCTGATGCTGTCATGAAGCACTTCCCATGAGCCTTTTTGCAGCCCGCCTATGTGCAGAGCCACTCTTCCCTGTTGCTCCGACTAAATATTAAAGCCAGAGCTGGGTAACACAGGAGAGAGAGGTTCAGCTAGGTGTCTTTCAAGGACGCAACTGCGATGATCAAGCGTCACGATAGTAAGCGAAGAAGCATATAAGCATCATATTGGAAAATGTGAGCAATTGGTAGTCACTACCATTAATCCTATAGACCTTTGCCACTGTAGGATTCCATTTACGTTGTCTCAAAGCTCAGAGATGAAAGCATTATGATACTTATTATAATGGTGACCCCTGCAGAGCGAACAGGACAGCGCAGGGAAATGAACCAGGGGCATCTTTGCACGATCTGCCGGATCCGACACTGAGCCATTCATAACGATCACCCGAGTGAGCGTAGACAAGCCCTTTGAAGACATCCGTGTCCACACTAGTCACTAGATGGAGGGCGCGGTGGAAGCAAGAACTCCTCAGGAAAGCTGGTCGCTTGCGAATCTTCCAATGGCAAGTCACGAACCTGCAAGTCGCCTTTGAAGACGACTTTAATCGCGTGCGGGTGAGCGATTTCTCTCGCGTGAAAGCTGAGTCATCCGTGTGCTGCCAGTGTAGCATGACCAGAGCACCATTCAACCTCTGATACACAACTTCATTGCTCTTAATGTCAAATGTCAAACTTTGTCCCTAGCTCCTGACGCTCCTAGCCTGCCGCTGCACCCCGCTAGCCTTTATCATGGAGTCCACTAGGGTTCTTCAGCAGCAGGAACAGCAGCAGTGGCCGTTTCAGCAGTGGCGCCCACAGCAGCAGTGGCGCCCTCAGCAGCAGCTCCGCACTCAGCAGCTGTGGCGCCCTCAGCAGCCGTGGGGGCCTGGTGGTTCGGGTAGCGTTGGCTGCAGCAGCGGCTCAGCCAGCTGGGGGGCTCGTCGTGGTGGCCGCGACGTTGGCCCCTGCCAGTACCGGATCCTGACCGGCCCTGGTGCTGGCACTATCTGCTGGCGTCCTGACCACTCTGCATAGCGTTGCTACAGCCGCCTCGACGACCTCTACCGTGAGCGTTTTGGGACTGAGTCGGCTCCCCGATCTGGCCCGGTCTGTTTCATAGTGGTCACCTTGTGTTTGATATGTCTGAGGATGCTGTTTTTTCTGTCACGTATGGATCTCTTGGCTTGCGTATACCGAGCTTAGGACCTTTGCCTGTTGCTAGTGTAGGTACGTATGCTTTTAGTGTAGGTGCTTGTGTTGTCACTAGCCCAGCCGTGACGACTGCTGTTGCGTCGCTCTCCTTCACGTTGGACTCCGGCGCATCTCAGTGCTTCTTCCGCGACCACACCACTGTCACACCTCTTTCGGCATTAGTCCCAGTTGCCCTGGCTGATCGTACTTCAGGACCAGCAATTGCTTGCAGCTCGACCACTCTCCCATGCCCAGCTGTCCCCTCTGGTTTCCTGAATGGTCTCTATATCCCCTCGTTCTCTCGGAACTTGGTGGGTGTTGGATACCTTCAGGAGCGGGGGATCACAGTCGCTTTTCCTGCGCACGGGAGGACTGCGATCTGTACTGACTCTTCCACCGGGGCAGTTCTTGTCACGTTCAGCAGAGAGCCCCACTCAGGTCTCTTCGTCCTGCACAATCCGCCCCCGCAGGGAGCTACGTCTGGTCAGGTTGCTTCGTCTCCCCCGGTAGTAGAGTCCAATTAGGTTACTGTTTCCCCACAGGTTGCTGTGTCCGGTCAAGTTGCTGTCTCCGGTCAGGTTGCTGTGTCCGGTCTAGTTGCTGTGTCTTGCTCCTGTCGGTCCCTAGCCCACCCGACCGTCTTGTGGCACCACCGCCTTGGCCACCCGTCGCTCCCCCGCCTTCGCAGCATGGCCAGTCACAGTCTTGTCTCAGGTCTCCCGTGCGTGTTTCCGTCGCTCCCTCCCTCGCTTGCTCCAACTTGTGCTCCTTGCGTCGCCGGCCGCCTGCGCGCCACTCCGCACTCCTCCCTTCGTCCGGCCACTACTCCCTTCTAGACTCTCCACCTGGACGTCTGGGGCCCTGCCCCTACGCTCGGACCTGAGAGGGAGCGCTAATTTCTAGTGGTCGTTGATGACTACTCCAGGTACACCACGGTGTTTCCTCTCGCGAAGAAGCCTGAGGTGACTTCTACGCTGATCCGATGTCTTCTGGCCATTGAGGACACTCGTGGTACTCGTGTCCGTTGTCTCCACTCCGATCGTGGGGGTGAGTTTCGCTCCGACGTCCTTGCCAGGTTCTGCAGCGAGCAGGGCATCAGACAGTCCTGGACACTGCCGGAGTCCCCACAGCAGAATGGGGTTGCTGAGCGCCGCATTAGCTTGGTCATGGATATCGCTCGCACCTCCATAACGTGCGCCCCATTTTCTGTGGCCCTACGCGCTTCGCTACGCCGCGCACCAGATGAACCTCCAGCCGCGTCTCTCGCGGCCAGAGGTTTCACCGACCAGTCTTTGGACCGGGTCCCCTGGTGTTGGGTCGGTCTTTCGTGTCTGGGGCTGCCTTGCGCTTGTCCGCGACACCTCTGCGGACAAGCTCTCGGCTCGCGCCATCCTCGCTGGCTCCCTAGCTTTTCCTGTGTGTAGTGGAGCCGTTGGCCCAAGAGGTGGAGAAGAGAAAGTTGGGACGTGGACAGTGGAGAAAGTTGCGCGAACTGTCGATGTAGAGCATATCAGATCCTGTACGTGGACGCGGGTCTTGTCCGCGACCCGCGTCTATCGATTTCAACACCATCCAATTTCACTGTCGAATTAAGCCTCCTGCCTGCCTTTCTAACTTTGAAAAAAAAATACATGTTGGGTTGTTAACGAAATGTTCCTCGTCGTGGAAGCTGCGCATAAGTTCGCTTGCCCACTACATACATACCCACGGCCCAGCCGCGCATATGTTTGTGCGTAAGATCTGACTATAGAACAGACACTTCTATCTACAAGTGAAGTTGGAATCAGCCGTCTAATGAGTACATTCACGACTCTGCGACCTGTTTTCGTACGAATCTGACGTCAGACACCAATTTGGTTACATCCGTGCGAATCCAGGCATGACATTGCAGGACGTGCGATTGCTGTCAGTAGTCAGACCTATGATACGGCGATTTTTCGTTGTCGTGAATGGTCGCAAGCCCTGGGAGTATGTGGTGTGTGTGTTCCCTTGCGAATCATGTGCAATAACTGCCCCTGTTTGCTTTGCGCACTGGACTGGTTTGCTCAAACCTGCCCGGCAAGGCTAAAGTTTTCAATGCCGCCTTCAGAAACCCATTGAAATGGCACGAACTTTGACGATCGGACTTTCGATGTAGAGCATTTCAGATCCGACGGCTATGAACGCAACGCATTGTGACAAAAGGTCACTGTGCTGTCGACTTTCGTGTTTCAAACCTTACTCGCCACCCATTCCCGCGCGCCGCGCTCATGGCATCATCACCCAGAGGCCGCGGACATGCGCTCCGATTTCATAACTTCGACACATTCCTTTCGGCGTGGGGCAATCTGGGGGGATGTGGCAGCATGGGAAATCACAGCACCAGCAATCAATCCCTCTCTCGCACCCTTGCCTCCCAATTCCACCTTCCACACCATTTTGCCCCTTCCATCGCTACGCCAAGGTGATGATCTCGGGTCCCTCCTCCCTTGCTCCTGCCAACCTAACCTGGCTTTCTCTAACGCAGTCAACTTTGGAGAGTGGTGCTCGTTTCGTCTTCTTCAATCTCGATCTGCAGCACCCTTCCCTTTGCTGTCCTTTCCACAATCGGTCTGTCAAACGAAAGTCAGAGAGCTTTCCGAAATGGCTTCGGCGCAACTAGTAATGTTGACCATGAAGCAAAGTCGGCCATCTAGAGAGTAGGGATAATATTAAGGATTAACGCTTCTCCTTAAGCCGCTTAAATAGGTCATGGTCGCGATCTTTAGCCACGCGCAGAGCGGCAATATCTAGCCCCGATACTCTCGTAGGTTCCTTAGCGCAGCAGAGCCGCACAATGTCGGACGATTCAGTCCTCATCCACCTCCCCCTCGCCTCCCCCGGTCACAACGCTCCCGCCACCAAAATGTCTCTCGACGATCCCTCCGCACCGATTTCCCTCTTCGCGCCGCAAATCAGCCCCGCGCCGCCGCTCTGGGCGGCGCTCGACGCCATGCACGGGCTCGACCCGGGCGGCGCGAGCGCGTGCTTCACCTCGTCGGAGCGCCTCTCCGACACGGAGTTCGCCGACGACTTCGATCCGTCATCTCCTCCCGGCCCGTCATCTTTTCTGACGGCCGCCGACGACATGGAGGCGCGCCTCTCCCGCCCGTCCCCGCACACGCGGATCCCGGAGGCGGAAACTCCGCGCAAGAGCGGGGGCGGGGGGGCGGGAGGGGATGGCGCAGGCGGAATGTGCTGGTCGCCGGCGTGGCTGCCGAGCGAAGACGACATTTTCAATGACCCAATCAGCGGCGACAGCACAATGCTGCACGAAGCGCCGCCTTTTGCGGGAAACAGCGGCGGGAGCGGCGGAAGCCGCGGGTACCAAGGAGAAAGCGGACCGGGGATGGGCGCTGGGGCGATGCCCGCCGGATCTGGCGGCGGTAATAGTGGGATGGGGGGTATGAGTGGCGGGAAAAGTCCGTTTGGAGTTAATCTGTCCGGGACGGACTCTGCGGGTTTGCTGCTCTCGCGCACTTCGCCGATGCCTGGGATGACCGTGCAGGATCTAATCATGGCTGTTGATTCGGTGAGCTTCGCCACCCCTGCGCCGCACGGCAGCCGGGCGATCGGCGGCGGATCGGACGGAACGTCGTTCAACAACACCCTTTCGTACACTAACGGGCCGTCTAGCAACAACGCGCCGTCATCTTACACCAATGCGCCCTCCTACACTAACGGCCCGTCTTACCCCGCCAACCAATCACCGGAGCCTTGGTCCCTCACCTCCTATTACGACACGCCCGTTTCCGATATCCTCTGCGAGACCGGCCAGGCCTCCACGTGTCCGTCTTCCATTGGCCCGTCGTCCACATCGGATGTTCGTGTCTCCCCAACGCCTCAGAGCGACCTGTTTCCGGGAAATGCTGGTCCCGCTCCGATCGCCTGCTCGCCTAGTACTTATCGCGGGCTGGCTTATAACGAGGCTCGGCGGGCAGTGCGGGGCAACCTGATGGACCGTCTCAACGCGCGGGAAAACGACACGCGGCCGCTGGATGCGCCGCAGCAGCCGCTTCTGCAGCAGCAGCAGCCGCAGCCGCAGCCGCAGCCGCAGCCGCAGCCGCAGCCGCAGCAGTACAACCCTAACAGTCAACAGCGGCAGATGCAACAGCCGCAATCGCAGATGCAGCAGCAGCAGCAGGCGCAGTACGGCAGTGAGATGAACCACAGCAGCAGCAGCACGGCGCTAGTTCGCGACCTCACCTTCTCCGACTCCCCCGCTCTCGCCGCCGCTGCCGCCGCCGCCGTCGCCATCGTAGCGGGCGACAGCATTTCCCCGCGCGCACCGTCGCCACTGGGCCTAGTGGACCTCCCCCCTCCCCCTCCCAGGCCGCCGCAGCAGCCGCTCCTGCAGCAGCAACAGCAGCAGCAGCGGCAATCACCGCAATACCAGCAGCCGCAGCAGCCACTACAGCCGCAGCAACCACCACAGCAGCAGCAGCAACAGTCACCTGTGTTACAGGCCGGTGGCAGCGCGGCAGAGAGCAACATCTTCGCTGGGCTGGGCAGCCTCGATGGCTCCCCTCTGCCCATGCACCCCGCCGGACTCCCCGCTGACTCCGGCTCAGGCTCGGGGCTAGGCTCGGGCCTAGGCTCCGCCCTAGGCTCGGGTTCAGGGTCAGAGTCAGGTGCGAGAGAAGGTGGAGTGAGTGCAGGCAGTGCGAACGGAGATGGATACCCGCGTGGGGCAGAGGGAGAGAGCGCGGACGCGATAAGGAGCGGAGGGAGTGGGGGCGGTAGCTCTGCTGTGCAAGTGCCACAGCTGCCGCCGCAACAAACACAGCTGCTGCAGCAGCAGCAGCAGCAGACAGAGGCGTCGAGGCAACAGCGTTCGCCACAAGTGGGAGTGTCGGCCCAACAGCAGTACCAGCAGCAAATGCACCTTCCGCCACCGCCGCCGCAGCAGCAGCAGCAGCAGCAGCAGCAGCAGCAGCAGCAACAGCAGCAGCAACAGCAGCAGCAGCAACAGCAGCAGCAACAGCAGCAGCAGCAACAGCAGCAGCAACAGCAGCAGCAGCAACAGCACCGGCAACAGCAGCAGCAGCACCAGCAACAGCAGCCGCAGCAGCAGCAGCACCGGCAACAGCAGCAGCAGCACCAGCAACAGCAGCCGCAGCAGCAACAGCTATACCAGCAGCAGCAGCAGCAGCAGCAGCAGCAGCAGCAACAGCAGCAGCAGCAGCAACAGCAACAGCTATACCAACAGCCAGAGTTCAAGCCTCTTTCCCAGACGGTGGTGTTGCAGCAGCAACAACAGCAGAGGCCGCAGCAACAGCAGCCTCACCAGCAACATCATCAGCAGCAGCAGTACCAGCAGCAGCAGCAGCAGCAGTACCAGCAGCAGCAGCAGCAGCAGCACCAGCAGCAGCAGCACCAGCAATACCAGCTGCAGCAGCAACAACAGTATCAGCGCCAGCAGCAAGACCAACTGCAGCAACAGCAGCAGCAACAATATCAGCGTCAGCAGCAGCAGCCGCAGCAGCAGCAGCAGCAATATCAGCGCCAGCAGCAGCAGCACCAACAGCAGCAGCAGCAGCAGCAGCAGCAGCACCAACACCAGCAGCAGCAGCAGCAGCAGCAGCAGCAGCAGCAGCAGCAACAGGTGCGAGAAGGTGTGGCAAAGCCGATGCTTCTGGGATCCTTCCTGCCTTTCATGCAGCGAAAAGCTTCCAGCGGAGGGACGGCAATAACAGGCTCAGCAGCAGCAGCAGTGCCGGTGGGAGCTAGCACCACTGGTCCCACTGCTGCCAGTTGCAGCGGTGGCGCCTGTACGAGCCGTCGCGTTGCAAGCTCACACAGCCACAGCCACACCCACAGCCACAACCACTGTGGTGATGGTCATGGGGCGTGCAGCTGCATGCAGCATGGTGGCGCGCGTGGCGGTGCCAGTGGGCACCTCGTGCCGCCAGCGCTACAACCGCCGCTACAGGCAACCCCGCCACAGGTGATGCTACAGCAGCCGCCCGTGCAGCAACAGCCGCCGTTTCAGATGCAGCAGCTGCCGCAGAGCGGGACAAGCAGCAGGACGCAGCAGCAACAGCAGAGCGGGCAACAGGCGGGCAGCAGCAACAGCAGAGCGGGACAAGCAGCAGGACGCAGCGGCGGCTTTGGCAGCAGCGTGGACACGTCAGTGGTCCGAATCCCGCTTGTCTCGCCCTCCCCTCCTCCCTCCACAACCGCCGTACCTCCTGCATTTGCCCCTCCTCCTCTGCCTCCTCCCCCTCCTGCTCCTGCCAGTCCTGCCATGCCTATTGGTCCAAGCTCATGCCCGGGAATAACTGGGAATAACAGCATGAGCGCCAATAACTTTAATAATAATAACAATAATAATGGCATGGTGGTTCTCAGCGGCAACAACGGCGCAAATAACGTGGGCGGCGGGACGAGCAACAGGGCTGAGTCAGCCAACCACATGCATGCAGCCTGCACCTGCTGCGCTGGTGGCGCTGCTGCTCCTGCTGGTACAGGTGCTGCTGGTGCTGCTGGTGGCCCAGCTTCCTCGCCCCTTCCTCCTCTCACTCGCTCCCACTCTGCCTCCTATGCTCCGGCAAGCCAGCCCCGACCATCCCACGCTCACCATCCCTTGTCCCACTCTCAATCCTTCTCCCACACTGCCACACCGCAAGGCTGGCAGCCCAACAGCATGGGAGTTATAAACATGGATACCAGTATCACTAAGAGCACCCCCAACAGCATTGGTAACAGTAACAGTAACGGATATAACGGCATGTCTGCTCCTCCGAGGACTCCTGCAGGGACTCCCTCCGCAGGGCCACCCTTCTCCTCTCCTCCCCTCCTTCAACGATACTCCACTCCTCCCACTGCCCCTGCTCCTGCTCCTGCTCCTGCTCCTGCTGCTGATGCTGCTCCGAATGCTCCTAGAGCTTCTAACTCGCCACAACTGGCAGTACCAGCAGCAGCAGCAGCAGCAGCACCAGCAGCGGCAACAGCACCAGCAGCGACAACAGCAGCAGGGTCACCCGCTTTCTCCAACGCCAGCACCCCTGTTATTGCCGCCGCCGCTGCTCCCCGTGCTCCGCCCACTCCCCTCTCTCACGCGCCCCTCTCCCTCCCTGCCTCTCGCTTCAGCAGCGGCGGCAGCACGTATCAGAGCAGCAACGGCAGCACCCCACACAGTAGTGGCGCTCCCTACAGCGGCAACCACACCCCCAGAGGTACCCCCTTGCTGGTCCCCTCTCGCTCCCTGCCTCCCCCTGCGCTAGACCACTCCTCCCTCGCGCCCCTCACCCTGCAGCAGCAGCGACCAATGCACAGCCAGCAGCAGCAGCACCCGCAGCAGCCGCCGCAGCAGGTGCAGCAGCCCCAGCAGCAGCAGCAGCAGCAGCAGCCACAGCAGCAGCCACAGCAGTCGCAAACGCTGCCCCTTCCACCTCCCCCCTCTCGCCCTCTCCTCTCAACGCACCCTGCCCTCCTCCGCTCCCCATCAGCACCACCTTGCACTCCCCCATCCGCCACCACTTCAACCATCACTGCTGCTCCAACCGCCCCTGCCCCTCCTGCTCCTCCTGCTGCTCCTGCAGCTCCTGCTACTCGCGCCCTGGTCCTCCCACCCCTGACTGCTGCATCTTCAGCAGCCCGTCCCCAAGTCGTCAGCAGGAAGGCCAGCAGCACTGGCAACGCACCCATGACTGTGAAGGAAGAAGCGACCGGGGCAGGCTCACCTGGGGGAGGTGCAGGTGCCTCTAGAGCAGGTGCATCTGTTGACCTGACGTGCGAGGAGGACGAATTGAAACTGAGCCTGGATGCTGCAGAGGAGACTGAGGGTGGGGGGGCAGCAGCAGGAGCAGGAGGAGGAAAGGGAGGCGCAGTCAAACAAGCAACATTGACAAACGACCCTAACCCCGCAGGGCACAGCGACACGGTGATGCAGCTGCAGTACGCGGGAGGCAACGGGCCGCTGGGCTTTGGATACAAGATGGTTCCGCGCAGCGCTTCAATCACCACCACCCCCTCCTCCCTCCCCTCCCTGGGCGCTGGCGCTTCATCAGCACCAGGTTCCGCCTCAGCTGCTGCTGCTGCTGCTGCTGCTGCTGCTGCACAAGCGGCACTGGGAGCGGGCGACATGGGCGGGTTTATGGATGATATGGAGGAGGATGAGGATGATGACATGATGGGGGGAGGATCAGGGTACAGCCGCAAGCGGGGGTTTGTGCAGAACGCTGCGGCATCAGCAGCGAGGAAGCGGCGGCACGACATGAACCACCGCGTCAAGCGCCTGCTGGACCTCGTGCCTGTTTCCAATAAGGTAATTTACCCTCTGAGTGTGATTACCCTCGAGCCCATTCTAAATATGTGATTTATCCTTGTGCCTAGCTCCAATAAACTTATCTACCCTCTTTCCAGCTTTTATTAGTGCCCGTGCTCGCGGGTCTCTTGATGCTGTTTCAGCCGCTCATGCTGCCTTTCTCCCCCTTTCCTTTCTCCCCCTTTCCTTTCTCCCCCTTTCCTTTCTCCCCCTTTCCTTTCTCCCCCTTTCCTTTCTCCCCCTTTCCTTCTCACCCCCCCCACTACCCTACTCCCCCTTTCCAACTCCCCAACGCCACAGAGGGACACGGCAGCCATGCTGCTGGAGGTGATACAGCTAGTGCAGTCCACCATCGCTCAGATCAAGGTACGCACAACCATCCATTCTTGTCTCGTCTGCTGACTCATAGGTTTCTTTCTCCAATTCTCACGACGTGCTTGCCCCATGAAGGGCTGCTCTCACTCGTGTTTCGCAAATAGAACCTTGCTGATCTAAAAACGCCTGCTGATGTTGTTTTCTCTTGTGGTGCTTCCAGGAGATAACGCTGGGAGAGGACTGCCCGCCCTCGGAGCGTGCATGTGGGGTGTGCAAGGAGGAGCCACTCTCGTCCCTCACCCTCCACGCTCCTGCCTCCTCTGGTATCAGCCTCGCTGCCTCCGCTGCAGCCGAGAAACAACAGCAGCAGCAACAGCAGCAGCAGATGGCGGCCAGCCAATCAGGAGCTGCCAGCACATTCTCAAACAGCACTCCCGCTGCAACTCCCGCCGCCGCCGCTGCCCCTGCTGACTCGCAACCTCAGCAGCAGCAGCGGAGCGGGGCAGTGGCACCATCAACAGCAACGTCTGCAGCTCCTGTGGAGAACTCACCCAACTCTAAGCAGAGCGCCCGGGCGGCTCAAGCTGCGAAGCTGAGGATGAGACGGAAGATGCAGCAGGCGAGGCTGGAGGCGGAGCGGAGAGGCACGGGGGGAGCGGGAGCGGGAGGGAAAGATGGTGGTAATGGTAGGACTGGAGCGAGTGGTGGGAGTGGAGGGAATAAGGGGGGTGGAGGTGGAGGTGGTGGTGGTGAGAGGGAAAAGGGACCCATGAAGACTCTTGCTGTGAGGGGGTTTGCTATAGTTAGTGCTAAGTGTGCTAATTTTGTGGCGGCTAAGGTGGTCGTTCCGGATTTTCAGGTGTAGATATGCGAGGGGTGGACGAGTGTTCTTAGTACCGTAAGCAACTACCCTGTTTCTAGGAGGTTGGTAGTTAACGAGTGCCATTCATACTTGATACATATACATTTATACATTTCTAGGAGGTTGGTAGTTAACGAGTGCCATTTCTACATTTACACGTAGTAAACATCTATATGCAGTTTACTTGGTGAAAATCTTCGGCAGCTATAATTAGTACATGGTCATGTAGATGCAAATCTTGCCTCTCAGTACTGTAACATTTTCTATTGAATACCACAATTGCCATGCATGCGCTAGGGCTGTGTTGCAGCTGTTGGAAACAAGTGATTTACCGTAAGCGCCTCTGTCGCGTCGAAACACTAAGTCGTAAACGAAGCGAAACACAGCGAAGCATCAGCGAGTCAACCTTCGGAGGTTGAGCAACTGCTGGAGGTTACGCGAAAGTCAAAGGTCAGCGACCTTTGACCTGACAAATACAGCGCGACAGCAAGGACAAACAACTGACTCGTTATTGAGCAGTTGCCCGAGTCGTCACTGTATCGAACCGCAACAACAATGGTAAAACGGTTATTAACTATATCTCTTCGTATTCCTTGTACTCTTATAAAAGCTCGTATCTCTTTGCTTTAATCAATCTACTTTGCCCTCACATACTAGCGCAAGGTGGTTCACAGACTTATAATTAAACGCTTCCGTTATTACATTGTTCCTACTCATAGTATAGTCCTGCAAAGATCCTAAGGGCTTTTCTCAGCCCAACATGGTATGAGAGCTATCAGGGCAAACTCAACTACTATCAAGACAACTACAACATCAGAAGGCATGGCAACACAGAAGGAGAGAAGCTTGTCAAATTTATATGCCTATGTCATAATAAAATGTAGGCTTTAGTGGGGTAGCTAATGTAAGGTATATGTTTTATTACCGTCATCGCCCGGATATAAGACAGTGTTGAATAGTAGACAGGGGTTGTCTACTATACGGGTGTCTCTTATAAACAGGCTAGCCTCATTATAAGACACCTATTTGTGTGTACGAGATAAGACATATATGTCTTATAATCGAAACTTCAATATATTATAGCGAAAGTTGAAATACCGCGAACATTTTTACCCTTGCGAAGCGCGACTTCTTCCACGCGCTGACCAGGACCTACCAAATTTGCCTCTGCAGGTGTTCTCCATGACGTGGCGTCCCGGGCAGTGGTTGCCGAAGTGGCACCTTCGCAACATCCACACTCATTATGAGGAATTCTTTTTCAAGAAGTACGGAAAATATTTCTAAGTAGTTTAAAAAGTTTCCATTTATAAGACTTATAAGACACCCTAAACCATCCCGTTTACAAGATAACTCAAGCATTTTTGCCCGTGTACGAGATAAGACATATATGTCTTATATCCGGGCGATGACGGTACTTGTACCCAACTTTCTCGATAGTGCCCTCACCTTTCACCTTTCCCTTTACTCTCGACATGGTATCAGAGCAACATAGGTCCTTAGGACCGTTTTAGGACTGTTTTTCAGGGCCCACCACCCGTTTTTTGCCGGTTACCGAGTTACCCCGCCCCTTGCCTACACTGCCCTGAGTCGCGCAGCCCTCGCGCTCGCCTCTGCTGGCCCTCGTACAGCCCGCTAGCAGCTCGCCTACTGCCTCGTCAGCCCCGCGCGTAGCTCGCTAGCTGCTTCGCCAGGCCCGCGCGCCGCCCCGCAGCCCCCGCGCTGCCTTCTCCTGCCCCGCGCGCCGCTCCGCAGCCCTCGCGCTGCTTTCTACGGCCGCCGACGCGGCCCCGCCCAGCCGCTGACGCGTCCCCACCCTGCCGCCGACGCGGCCCCGCCTGGCCTACGCGCTGCCCCCCGTCGCCCGTCGCGGCGCCTGTGGGACCCGCGCGCTGCCCTGCACCAGCGACGCCGCCCCTGGAGCAGCCGCCCCTGGACCCAGAAGCCTCACCAGCACCTAGAGCAGGAGACGCACTAGCACCTAGAGCAACAGCCTCACCAGCACCTAGAGCAGGAGACACACTAGCACCTAGAGCAGCAGGCTCTATACCTGGGTCAGTCGGTACGCACAGGTAACAGGCACGGTCAGCACTAGTAGGCAATGCATACATGGCAGTGAGAATAGCATCATAGTCAAGAGCAAAGATATCTACCCTCTGCCTAAGCAGCTCCAGCCAGGTGGGGAGCTCAGCCTCGTCGCCAAACTCGGTACGCCAGGCGTCGCTCAGACGGGCGAAGCAGCAGGACTGTTCCTTCTCCTTACACTGAGCTGACAGGCGGTCTTGCTGAGCGTCGTGAGCCTGCATCTCGTCCTGTCTCGCCTGTTCGCGCTGTCCGCACTGGTCGTACTTGTTGTCGTGTTCCTCGTAAGCGTCCACCGGCTGTCCCCGACACACACCTCATGGCCCTGCGTCCTTCCTCTGCTCCTCAGCGTGTTCCCCTGCTATCCCCTCCTGCGTCTTCTCTGCCTGACGGTCCAGAGCCTGAGTCTGACCGCGCTCGTGCTGCTCACCCTACTGTCACGCGTCTGCTAGCCACAGTTGTCACTGACCCGTCGTTTGAGTCTTCTACTGCGTCTGCCTTAGTCGCTGAGCTTGTTGACTTTGCTGCTGCCTGTCGTCTAGACTACGCCGCTAGTCTTGTTGCTGAGTCTGAGTCTGTCTGTCCTCCATCCGTCGGGGGTGAGTGTGCTCTTGGCACGGACGTCCTTGAGGACAGGCACAAGGACCTTGAGTGTCTTGCAGCCGCTGCGCCTCATCTCGTGTCCATGCTGCTTGCCCCTGAGGGAGACCCGGATGCTCCAAACATCCCGACCCCGCGCTCTTACGCTGAGGCGATCGCGGGTGAGTACTCCTCTCAGTGGCAGACAGCCATGGACGCAGAGATCGCATCCTGGAAGTCCACAGGCACTTACGTTGACGAGGTTCCCCCTCCTGGGGCGAACATCGTCAGTGGCATGTGGATTTTCAGGGTGAAGCGGACGCCAGGTTCTCCGCTTGTCTTCAAGGCTCGTTACGTTGCTCGAGGTTTCAGTCAGCGAGAGGGAGTTGACTTCTTCCAGACCTTCTCCCCGACCCCGAAGATGACCACTCTTCGGGTGTTGCTGCATGTTGCCGCTCAGCGTGACTACGAGCTTCACTCTCTTGACTTCAGCACAACTTTTTTGCAGGGCAGCCTGCACGAGGAGATCTGGCTGCGCCGCCCTCCTGGCTTCACTGGGTCGTTCCCTCCTGGTACCCAGTGGAGCCTCCGGCGGCCGGTCTACGGTCTCCGCCAGGCGCCACGTGAGTGGCACGACACACTGAGGACTACACTTGCGGCTCTTGGGTTTGCTCCGTCGACCGCTGACCCGTCACTGTTTCTGCGCACCGACACTTCGCTGCCGCCGTTCTACATCCTCGTGTACGTCGACAACTTGGTCTTTGGCACTGCTGACACTGAGGCTCTCGCCATGGTGAAGTCGGAGCTGCAGAAGAGACACACGTGCACAGACCTGGGTGAGCTGCGCAGTTACCTTGGCTTGCAGAATACCCGGGACAGAGCACGCCGCACCATCACACTGACTCAGTCACACATGGTGCAGCAGGTCCTTCAGCGCTTTCGCTTCACCTAGTCCTCGGCACATGCCACTCCTCTGGCTACAGGTCACTCGCTCCCAGCTCCACCTTCGGACGAGTCCGTTGAGCCGAGTGGTCCTTACCCAGAGCTAGTGGGCTGCCTCATGTACCTGATGACCTGCACTCGTCCTGACCTCGCGTACCCTCTTGGCCTTTTGGCTTGCTACGTGGCTCCTGGTCGGCACCGAAAGGTGCACATGGATGCTGCTAAGAGGGTACTACGCTACTTGTGCAGTACATCGGGCATGGGGCTCGTGCTTGGAGGACGGAGCGACGTTGTCTTCACCGGGCACTCAGACGCTTCTTGGGTTGACGACCAGGCTACGCAGCGGTCGTCACAGGGTTACACCTTCAGCCTTGGCTCTGGTTCAGTTTCTTGGCGTTCTACACGCTCGTCTTCAGTTCTCAGCTCCAGTTGTGAGGCTGAGATCTACGCCACAACCATGGCTGCACAGGAGTTACGCTGGCTCACCTACCTGCTGACCGACTTGGGAGAGCGGCCTCGTTCTCCTCCAGTGCTGTACGTCGACAACAAGGCCGCCATTGCCTTGTGTGAAGAGCACAGACTGGAGCACAAAACGAAGCACATCGCTCTGCATTACTTCTTGGCTTGAGAGTTGCAGCAGCGTGGTCAGCCTCGTCTTGCTTACGTGGCCACTCGGGCCAACACTGCTGATATATTCACCAAGGCACTTCCGTCTGGTGATCATCAGCGTTTCTGCACTTTGTTAGGCCTTGTGCCCACTTTTCCTCATTTGCTGTAGACTTTGCTTGTACTGTGATCTATATATATACCTGCATGCTTGCTCTACTAGGTAGAGATCACTGTACTGTTGTTGTTGCATATATCCCTCTGCATGTGAACTGGCCTTATGGCCCTTTGCTTGTGCTCAGTGTGTGTGGTGACATTTTGATCCACCCTGAGCTTGCTTTGCTTCTCTTGACTGGTCTTGTGACCCCTTGCTCTCCCCCACTTTGCCTATGGGGGTGTGTCAAATTTATATGCCTATGTCATAATAAATTGTAGGCTTTAGTGGGGTAGCTAATGTAGGGTATATGTTTTGTTACTTGTACCCAACTTTCTCGATAGTGCCATCACCTTTCACCTTTCCCGTTACTCTCGACAAAGCTCCTCTAACGGCTCTCCCGGTACTACTCCTACTCCACCTCCTGCCTCTGGCCTACAGACAAAGGAGGGCACAGCAACAAGACCAGCAGCTGGGTCCATCGAAACTCCCGCAAATCAAGCTGCGGGCTTCGACCCAAGCATGATGGAGAAGTTCTTCTCCTTCATGTCCTTCTACGAACAACACCAACAAGGGGCACCTGCGCCGTCAAACAACAACAACAACAACAACAACAACAACGATGTGACACCGATGAGCCTCGACGGTTCATCCTACGCGCGAGGAAATCAG